ACTTGGTATCGGTGAGTACCTAAACTGAAGTACTCGTACTTGTACTCAGTCTTGAAAAAAACTGGTATCAGGACACCCCTACTTTAATGAGTTTTAAAGACACCAGGTAACTCACCTTTCTGGGGTCTGAATGTTGTCCAGATCCTCGATGTCCAGGACCATCTGCTGAGACTCCTCCTTGGCGGTCTCAGTCTTCTCCTCTGCCAGCTTCAGGTAAGCTCTGACCACATCCTCCAGAGATTTAATATTCACCTGGCGGAATAAAAAAAAAGGATTTTAACACTGTGATAAAACTAACAACGCATGAATGAAAAAGCTTGAATGATTCCTCCACACCTGCTGGCAGATGTTCTTGTACTGGTAGAGGCCCTCCTTGGCCAGGTGGCTCTTGCGCAGATCCACGCAGAGCTCCAGGTATTTGAGCATGATGGGCTCGTGGATCTTCTGCCATGTTCGGTGTTTCTTACTCTTGATGACATCGTACAGGACGTCCAAGGCTGGCTGCTTTTTACCAACCTCCAGGAACTCTGCACGCACATTTAGATACGTTTATTTTATTTTTTTTTATTAAACAACAAAGAACACACAAAATAATACAATGTACAAACAATAAGGCACATTTCAAAACAAACAAACATGCATATAAGAGAAAAGGATGGGTGCAAATAAAGATAAGAAGTTTAAAAATAAGAAGGAACAAAAAAAGGCTATGGTTTAGATGTTAAATCATAATCTTCAATTAAAGAGCACAGATTGTGGGCATGTTTAGTGTGCATCACTTTATGAGAATTGCAGTACAAAAATAGTCATTGTGAAAATGATAGAAATTTGGTTTAACCTTAAGATATTTAGCTTTATGGAAGAAAAATGTCCCCAGAATGATAATAGTGTTGATGAGAAAATCACTGTTGTTATTGTCCATAAGTCCATAAATTATATTGTTTTCAGAGAACATTTGGAGACAGGGAACTTGCACATTTAGATACGTATCAGTGACAGAACGGGTCGCTAGCTAGGCCCTGATTAGCATTTCATAAACATCAACAAGTCACGCTAAATTTGACAACTGCAACCGGATGTTACTGTCAAAACAATCGAAAACAGTCTTAAAACTGATTTACTAAAATAATATCACTTTATCTGAAGCATTAAACGGACAAGCTAGTTTAAGTAGTGACGTAGCACTGTGAAAGCAACACAGCTTCCCCGCCACCAGCTATCGCCGCTAGCAGCTAGCATGCTAACTTAGCCACAGTTAGCTYTAATCTGACACGGCCGAAGCGGCGTTTCCACTCACCGTTCGCTCGTTTCAGAGCATTTTCTGGCCGCTGAAAATAAGCCGGCATGTCGGCGTTGTTCTAGCGAAGCTCTAAACCCACTGACTTGTTAAGATATCTGTGGACAAACTTCAGCAGCTCATCGAAGCCACGCGTTCACCAGCGGCGACACGGTGCTGCCTGGCTGCTGGGAAAAAGGACGGACCGGGACCTCGTGACTAGCCTAGCACGGGGGGTTGCCGGGTGGGACCGCCTACATCAGGAAACCAGCTTTTTTACATTTATTTTTAATGAGAAATTTCAGTTTTCAAACATTTATCTCACTCATCCAATCAACATATAATGCACTACTAAACGGAAGTAATAAAAAAAATACCAAATTAAATAAGAAGTCATGAAAGCATCACAATTTAGTGCATATAATGAGCACAAAATTAATATTTTGTATTTTAAAACATAAAAATTGGGAACTACGTTTCACAAGAAATCGATATTTTTATATGTACATGATAAATTTACCCTAAAGTTTAATAATCATGCTTACATTGTTCAACAAACTCTAACGGGAGATTTAAAAAAATCCCAGTTTCTGTGAACGCACCAGCAGTCGTCTGCGGCCTGTGATTGGCTGAACTTTGTGGCCCCGCCCCCACCGCTGTCCGGTCCAGGAAAAGGAAAACGATGATGGAGAAAATCTGCTGACAGTTTTAAAAAAAATCACCCAAAAGCACCGACTGTATTTGAAACAACTGCTTTTATTTGAGTTATTCATCCTTGTAATTGTAGCGTTTTGATATCGGAGGAGCTCTTGAGGTTTTTTTAGAGTTAAATTTGCGACCAAAGAGGAAGATAGATGCTGGTTTGTGTCTAGTTGTGTGAACTCTTCTTTATGGGAACATGACAACTACTGAAGCACAGATTATGTTGAGCGTCGGAATAATCGGTGAGTTTCAGCTTATCTGTTTATTTTTTAATAATTTGTTATTAGTTGTAGAGAAGCTGAGACTTGAAGGGGAATCACATGATGACAGGATGATGATCCTACCTGCTCCAYCTCACTGGGCTGGTTCTGAACCATCAGCCCTTCCAGTAACACCAGCATGTGATGGACAGAGCTTTATAGTAACTAAGTACATTTACTTCGTTACAATACTGAAGTCATTTTTTGAGGATTTGTAATTTTACCAAGTATTTTTTAAATGGTTACATTTACTTTTATTTCGTTACATTTAAAACCTAAAATTGATACTTTTACTCGTTACAAAATTGAATACGTTCAAACTTATGAAAGATGTTTATACACCGAAAAATAAAGTGTTGAATTTATTCAACTAAGTCATGTCAGCAGGTTTCACAAAACCTGTAGAGTTAATATGAGGCAAGAATATTTTCTCCACCTGGTTTAGTGGAACCAGTTTGGTTAAACCAGGGCTCTGCAACCTGCGGCTCTGGGGCCATATGTGGCCCTTTGAAAATGTGACCAGACAACTAAATATTTTTGTTTTTTTTATACCCACAACAGAAAACAATTTGTATACAAATACGTAACCAATACTACTAATACAAAAAGTAAAACATGTTAGCTCATGCTTGCCTGTTGTTTACTTAAACAATTCAACTTCTTTCTATGATTTTTCTTACAAATCCATCAATTTACCTTTAAATAATGTAAAGATTACATCTTTATAATGAGAAAAAATATGCCAGAATAGTTCAGTTGTACTAGTTTTTATGAAATTCGATATAAACTAAATACAGTATTTTTCTTATTTACATAAATATGATCTTTTCATTTGTCCTGGTTTGTATAATAGTATAGAATATAATAATATATTTTTTAGTTTTATAATGTCAACTCCACTGACCGTAAAGGTTCCCTGAAAGGCCTTGAAAAGGCCCACGGACCAGCAGTTGATAATCACAGTTGTAGCTTGTTTTGGACACATTTTATTAGTGAGACAATGACACAAATGGCTCTTTTGATTGTAAAGGTTGCAGACCCCTGGGTTCACCCGTTAACAGATGCCCCGAAATTCATAAAAGCCTTTTGATATTTTTTAAGGTTCCAAACTAAAGTTAAGAACCAGAGGAAGTTGTCTCACAGCATAGTCCTCAAAATAAAAGCATCTGGAAACGTTTAAAGGCAGAAACTGAACCGTTTTTGCTCACCGGTCGAACAAAGACGGTTCAGGGGTTCAGTAAATTCTACAGTTTATTTCTTAGAGTGTGTAAAAGCACTTTTACTTTCCCAATTTTTATGAACAGTTTTATGACTTTTACTGAAGTAGTTTTCGCATTAGTGAAATTTAYTTTTACCAAAGTCATTTTCTGTTAAGGTATTTTTACTTAATTTTTTTCAAGTTCTTTATAGACCTCTGGTGATGGAGTTCTGCTTTCAGAAACRGTTCCGACAGATCTCTCAGGGATGTGTCCTCGGTCCCACCCTGTTTAGTTGGCTGTTTTGGAGACATTTAGTTTCATGTTTGTCATAAAACGACTAATGAATTGAACTAAGACTTATGATGTTGTGCTGGATTTCTCCCCCCACCAGAGAAAGACGTGAACGGAGACACTCTGTGGGTTTGGTGCTACCCGTCTGTGAGCCCCGAGCTGAAGCAGGTTCTCCTCAGGAAGTGCTGCCTGACGCAGGAAGTACAGGAGTTTCACACGTTCGTGTTTGGTCATTTCAGTCGTACCTGGTTCTACATCACTACAGCAGAGGTCCAGGAGCCCACAGCCCTGAATAAGGTACTGATGAGGGTTCACGCAGGTTCTCAACACAGAAAAAAAAGCCTCGTTTTCAAACATCTGTTGACTTTCGTCCTGACAGGTGACTCATTTTTCAATCGTTATAACGGCGAAAGACTTCAACCCTGAGAAATACGCCGCTCTCAGCAGAATCCTCTGCAGGTAAGATGATGATGTTCTGCGCCGGTTTGTGGTCCAAAAGGTTTTGGGCTGTGTTCACGCTTGTTCTCCAGGACGTACATGAAACACGGCAGTCCGGTGAAGATGATGGAGGCCTACATCACCGTCCTCACCAAGGGAATCTGTCAGAGCGACGAAAACGGCTCGTTTCTCATAAAGGACTATGATGTTGAGACGGCGTACCTGGCAGGTTCAATCAAAGGTGAAAGCTCACACCTGTCACAGGTAACAGGTTAGAAGAAAGTCTCACATCCACCTTTTCTCCTCCAGATGTTGTGTCTCAGTTTGGTGTGGAAACCGTCATCCTGTACACCGCCCTGATGCTGAAGAAAAGGATCGTCATCTATCATCCTCGGATCGAAGCCTTGTTAGAGTTTACCAGGTGAATTTAAAGGCATAGTTCAGAATTTTTATGGTACRTTTCTGTGGAAAACCTGTTGCAGATATCTCATTGGACCACCTCAGTTTGGAGAAATAGTTTCATTCTGACAGGACTAATGAGCTAACGGCATAGCGGTTTTTGCAAACGCTATTTTATAAATCATCACGTCATAAATATCTGATATAGTTATTTATTTACATGATTATTTCGATAAGCAGTTAGCGACAGCACGTAGCACATTTGAAGACACTTTGTCCAAACTGATGTTGTTTAAAAAGCTATCAACAACAGGTAAGATAATCGTTATTACCCTATAGAACCTCTCTTYAGAAGGTCTGAACTCTTTTAGCCTTTATGTTGTGACTTCTGCCAATGCTTGACCTGTTCTTCATGCAGAGTCCTGCCAGCGCTGACGTGGCACCGAAAAGACTGGTCCATCCTGCATCCGTACGTCCACCTGACTGACGTAGAACTGGACGATATAAAGAAATGTCCCGGTAAGGACACTAGCTGCTCCGTTAGCTAACAGCTACAAATTAGACTGAACATTTTCTGTGAAGGGCAGCACGAGTGGTCTTAAAAGGTGTTAAAGTTAAAACAAGCAAAAAACAAACTGAAATAATAATAATAACAAASAGCTGCTAAAAGTAAAACTAGTAAAGCAGATGCTAAAAACAGCTAAATGAGAGCTAAAAACAAAACATACGCTAACATCAGCAAATTAGATGCTAAAACAAGCAAAACACAAGTTAAAAAACATATGCTAACATTAGCAAAACAGATGCTAAAAAAACCAAAATAGATGCTAATACTAGATGCTAACATTAGCAAAACTGGTGCTAACATTAGCAAAGCAGGTGCTAAAAACCAAAACAGATGCTAAAAAAACAAAATAGATACTAACACTAACAAAATAGATGCTAACATTAGCAAAACAGATGCTAAAAAATCTAAATAGATGCTAACACTAACAAAATATATGCTAACATTAGTAAAACAGGTGCTAAAAAAACAAAACAGATGCTAACATTAGCAAAACACAGGCTAAAAAAGCAAACCAATGAGCAACAYAATAAACAGTTAGTAGTTAAAACAAATCTTAATGTAGAAATGGCCAGAACATTCTGACAACTAAAACATACTAAAATAACAAAGGCAATGCTAAAATTAGCACAACAGTAGCTAAAAGCCTAAATTAGCAAGACAGTAGCTAAAAGTAGATACAAAGAATGTAAAGAATGTAATATTCACTTTTTGTTAAAAAARCCCAAAGTTTGTGGAAGTAGTTTGATTGTTGAATAAATGTAAATGTATAAATTATGAATTAGCATAAATGCTAACTCTGCGTTATGTGCCGACACGTTCCTTTCTCCACAGGGTACGTAGCAGGATTCGTGGATCCAGTTGTGAGCAACAGATCAGATTTGTTTGATGTGTTTGTGAATCTCCCAGACGGCGTGATCACCGTGTCTCAGGGAGCCAAAGGTGCGGTACGTTCACCTGCCTCTTCAGGTGCTTTGATCCGCTCAGACTGACGCTTGGTGTTTCACCACAGAYGCCATGGCGATGGGGAAGTTACACAAGGACATCGCTCAGCTCATCGTTAAGTCTGCGGAGGACGCAGAGAGGTCCGACAGTCAGGTCATCAAGGTGAAAACAAGAAACCATCTCAGAGCTGGTCTGTTCGTCAACACAATCCATCCTGAGAGGCAAAGTGGTGACAGGAGAAAGAAACGACTCACTTTAAACAGGAGAGATCCTGGACCAGAACCAGGATAGGCAGCCTTCTGCCTCGACTGATTGGGTCCAGAGAGGACAGGAAAGAGACACAGAATGACTGGTCCAGGTGTGGTTCCTATGGTCCAGGTGTGGTTCCTATGGTCCAGGTGTGGGTCCCATTGTCCAGGTGTGGTTCCTATAGTCTAGGTGTAGTCCCTTCCTATGGTCCAGGTGTGGTTCTTATGGTCCAGGTATGGTTCCTATGATCCAGGTGTGGTTCTTATGGTCCAGGTATTGTGCCTATGGTCCAGATGTGGTTCCTATAGTCTAGGTCTAGTTCCTTCCTACAGTCTAGGTGTAGTTCCTTCCTATGGTCCAGGTGTGGTTCCTATAGTCTAGGTGTAGTTCCTTCCTATGGTCCAGGTATGGTTCCTATGGGCCAGGTGTGGTCCCTGTAGTCCAGGTTTGGTTCCTATAGTCCAGGTTTGATTCCTATAGTCCAGGTTTGGTTCCTATAGTTCAGGTTTGGTTCCTATAGTCCAGGTTTGGTTCCTATAGTCCAGGTGTGGTTCTTATAGTCCAGTTATGGTTCCTATAGTCCAGGTATGGTTCCTATAGTCCAGGTATGGTTCCTATAGTCCAGGTATGGTTTCTATGGGCCAGGTGTAGTTCCTTCCTGTAGTCCAGGTGTGGTTCCTATAGTCCAKATGTGGTTTCTATGGTCCAGGTGTGGTTCCTATAGTCTAGGTGTAGTTCCTTCCTATGGTCCAGGTATGGTTCCTATGGTCCAGGTATAGTTCCTGTAGTCCAGGTGTAGTTCTTATAGTCCAGGTGTGGTTCCTATAGTCCAGGTGTGGTTCCTATGGGCCAGATGTGGTTCCTATAGTCTAGGTGTAGTTCCTTCCTATGGTCCAGGTGTGGTTCTTATAGTCCAGGTGTGGTTCCTATAGTCCAGGTGTGGTTCTTGTAGTCCAGGTATGTTTCCTATAGAAACTCAAATCAATTAAACGTTTCTTCACAGGACCTGTCCATGAAGACTGCAGAAGTTCTGAGCCACCTGGCTGCTCTGACAGAATCATGTGGAAACTCCAAACTGACTCTGGARGCTCTGAAGCAGCATCACTTCCCTCCGGCCACAGAGAACTTCCTGTTTCACCTGGCAGCTGCAGAGCAGCTCCTACAGATCTGACCTTCTGTTTGGCCTTAAAAACATTTTGATTCTTCCATAAAAACCTGATCAGAGATTTTAAAATGTCACTAATCCTCACATGATGCAGTTAGATTTAACAACTGAACTGTTTCTTCTAAATTTATAACTTTGTCAGAGAAAATCTGTTTTACTTTCAGGAATTTATGTATTTAACCATTGAAAATTAGACTTTTCAAAACTTTCCAATGTCAGACAATATTTTTTTTTCATTTAAATAAATTGCCGGTACATTTATGTCCAATTTTTTATTTATTTATTTTTTATTTTGCCCCCAACTTTTATTTTTATTTAAAATGTCCCAGTGAAACCGTCATAACTAAGACTTAAATTTTCCACATTGAATCTGAAGTTTGTAAACAATGTTTTACTGTTGGAGATATTTGTCAGATCTTCGTCTAACAGCTGGTTTTATGTCTGTGATTTCACATTTTAACGAATAAAAATGTTTTTTTATTTTTTAAAACTTCAAATTTTTACTGAGTTCTGGGAGAAGTTGCATTATGTAAACACTGAGTCAACATTTACTGTATTTTTACACTTTTTGCTACTTTCAGTTGATCTTTTGATGTTTTTAGCATTTAAGTAACTTTAGTTTTTAGTCGGTCTTTTGCTGCTTTAAAATTCTAGCTAGCATGTTGATACCGCTAGCTTTGGAGGTACCCTTTTACTACTTTAGCCTTTAGCTAATTTTCAAAGATTATTTCAGCTAGCATTTTTATAGACTAGCTTATTTGTTATCTTTAACTTCTAGCTAGCATTTTGCTACTAACCCTAACCTGTCGGCTCTCTTCAGATTGACTGATTGGTTGTTTTAGCTCATCCCCATATGTCTTTAGCTTTCAGGTAGCTTTTTACTACTTTAATATTTAGGAAATCTGTTTTTTTAAATCACTTTAAGCTACATTTAGCTTCTAGCTAACAGTTTGCTACTTTTAACTTACCTAGCAATTTGTTCTTTTTGCCTTTAACCAGTTTGTTTCAGGTTCGCCAGCATATTTATATACAAACACAGAAAATAAATTTTTTACATTTATTTCTCATCTAAAACACAAAAAGTTGTGTTGTTTTTGTCGTGTTTTTGTCGCTCAGAGTCCTCTGTGGAAGTAAAAGTGTGAACCGGCTGCGTTGGCCTTCAGCTCCTCCTCCAGGTTCTCTCTCTCTATCTGTGAAACGAGGTCAGAGTCAGTGCAGCTCAAAACAAACACAAATAAAACCCTGAACTGAGGCCTCACCATCCCCAGCTGTGGAAACAGGCTGAAGGAGACCGGAACCATCAGACCCAGAACCAGCGCCGTGATGCCGTACTGACATGGAGCCACCAGCACAGGGCTCACACGGAAGAGTCTGGTTCTGAGACGGAGACAAAATATTTATTAATCAGACTGAGGAGGAGCAGAAGAGAAAGGATGATGATGATGAAGATGAAGATGAAGATGATGATGATGATGATGATGATGATGATGATGAGCTCACCTTCTTAAGAGGGACATAAGCAGGTTGGGAACAGCTGCCGTCGTCCCAAACAAGGCGGCTCTGGACAGAACCGTCTCCCTCACCGCCTGATTTAACAGGAAATAAAAAAACAGGAAATAAATCTGAGTTTTTTTAAACATAAAAAAATGAAAATTAAAATCTTTCTGAAACTGAACTTGTTCTCCTGCAGCTCTGGAGAGGCCGACTGGGTTTCCTTGTTGATCGAAGACCTGGATCCCGGTCTGTGTCTCCTCACTCCTGACGGTGAAAACACTGAGAGCGGCTAAAGCAGCTGGAAGGAAGTCAAACAACCAATCAGCTTCTTACGTTTGATTAAACAACCAACCAATCAGCTTATTACATCTAAACAACCAACCAATCAGCTTCTTACATCTGATTAAACAACCAACCAATCAGCTTCTTACGTTTGATTAAACAACCAACCAATCAGCTTCTTACATCTGATTAAACAACCAACCAATCAGCTTCTTACGTTTAATTAAACAAACAACAAATCAGCTTCTTACATCTGATTAAACAACCAACCAATCAACTTCTTACGTTTAATTAAACAAACAACCAATCGGCTTCTTACATCTAATTAAACAACCAACCAATCAGCTTCTTACATCTGATTAAACAACCAACCAATCAGCTTCTTACGTTTGATTAAACAACCAACCAATCAGCTTCTTATGTTTAATGATTAAAAATCAGCTTCTTATGTTTAATGATTAAACAACCAACCAATCAGCTTCTTATGTTTAATGATTAAACAACCAACCAATCAGCTTCTTACATCTGATTAACCAACCAACCAATCAGCTTCTTACATCTGATTAAACAACCAACCAATCAGCTTCTTACATCTAATTAAACAACCAACCAATCAGCTTCTTACATCTAATTAAACAACCAACCAATCAGCTTCTTACATCTAATTAAACAACCAACCAATCAGCTTCTT